TTGCGAGAGGATTATACTGCATGTTCCATAGATTGGACAGAGATGTTCATATACGCTGGTTAAGATGCCAGTTCTCCCAAATTGATCTATAAGTTCAATACAATCCCAGTCAAAATCAGGAGTTTTGTTGTTGTTGTTGTTGTTAAAATTGACAAGGTGATTCTAAAAATGTATGTGGAAATACAAAGCGACCTAAAATAGCCCAAAAGTTGTGAAAAATAACAAAGTTGCAGGTCTTACAACTACCTGATGTTAAGATTTACTAAAAAGGGATAGGTGCCGGGAGCGGTGGCTCAGCGCCTCTAATCTCAGCACTTTGGGAGAGGCTGAGGCGAGGCAGTCACTAGTAAGAATTCGAGACGCAGCCTGACCAACATGGTAAAATCCATCTCTACTAAAAAATACAAAAATTAGCCGGGCGTGGTGGCACATGCCTGTAATCCAGCTCTCAGGGAGGCTGAGGCAGGAGACTCCTTGAACGAGGAGGCAGGAGGTTGCAGTGAGCCGAGATCACGCACTACACTCCAGCGCTAGGCGGGCGACACAGCAAGACTCCATCTCAAAAAAAAAGAGAGAGACAGGGTAGAGAGCCTAGAAATAAACACACACACTGGTTTTTCACCAAGCTGACAAAGGAATTTAATGAAGGAAAGGATAATCTTGTCAATAAATAATGCTGGAAAAATTGGATATCCACATGGAAAGAAACCTTGATTCTAACCACTACTTGGGAGGCTGAGGTGGAAAGATCGCTTGAGCCTAGGAAGTTGAGGCTGCCGTGAGCTACTACACTCAATTGTGCCACTACACTCAAGCCTTGGCAATAGAGAGAGGCCCTCAAAAAAAAAAAAAAAAAAAAAAAAAAAACCCTACATGGAGACACTAATCACACCCTAAAACAGCTAAAATTAAATGGGCTGAAATAAATAACAAGTGTTGGCAAAGATATGGATCAAATAGAACTCATACCTCACTAGTGGACAAATAAAATGGTACAACTACTTTGGTAAACAGTTGGAAGTATATGATATTAAACATATACTGACATATGACCATCTGACCAATCAGGTATTTGCTCAAGACAAATGAAAACATGTCTACACAAAGACTTATATTTTAAGGTTAACAGCAGTTTTATTCATAATATCCCAAAACTGGAAACAATGCAACATCCATCAGCAGATAAATGAAGAGTGTGGTACAGACATACAATGGAATAACTATGCACCAATAGATACAACCTACTGATACATGCAACAACGTAGATGAATCTCAAGAACATACACTGAACAAAAGCAGACAGACACAAAAAATATATACTACACTACACTACTATATTCTACAGTTTGAGTATTTGTGTCCCTCCAAAATTTATGTTGAAACAATCTCCAATGCAATAGTATTAAGAGACGGGGCCTTTGGAGGTGATTAAGTCATGAGAGCTCTTCCCTGGTGAATGAGCTTAAGCCCTTTATGAGAGGGGCTGCACACAGCATTTGCTCTCTTTTTTTTTTTTTTTTTTTGCCTATCTGCCCCTTCTATCATGTGAGGACAGTGTTGAAAGCACCATCTTCAAAGAAGAAACTGGGCCCTCAGACACCAAACCTGCTAGTGCCTTGATCATAAACTTTTCAGCATCCAGAACTGTGAGAAATAAATTCCTGTAATTTATATAAATTACCCAGTCTCAGGTATTTTGTTATAGCACCACAAATAGACTTAGACACTGTATGATTCCATTACTGGAAATCTAGAAAAGAAATTCTAATCTTTCCAAAAAGATAGGAAAGAGTCATTGCTTGGAGCCAGCAGAGAAGAAAGGATTGATTGGGATGGGACACATAGGAAATTGCTGGTGTGATAGAAATGCTTTGTCTCTTTATCTATGGGGATAGTGACACAAGTACATAAATGTATCAAAACTCATTGAAATATATACTTAAAACTGTTGCATTTTATTATATAAAATAATGAATCAATAAGTTGAGTTTTTAAAAACTCAGTAATTCTTCCTGGAGTCAAGAATGACTCTGAGGTTTCTGGCTTGGGAAATCAGATGCATGCTGTGCCACCTACAGATAAGGAAACACAGAAGCAGATTTTGAAGAAAGAAAAGTTATCTGGGAAATCTTGAGCTGGAGTTGTTCTTTAGAAAAATGTTCATTCAAATCTCTTCTCCATTTATTAGTTGGACTGTTTGGTTTTTGTGTTGAATTACAGGAGTTCTACATGTACACTGGATATCAATTCCTTATTAGATATATGACCTGCAAATAAAATAAATGTAAAAGTCAGGAGAAATAGGAATTTGGGAAAAATAAGCACATATATGGCAAGTGAAGTCATGGCAGAGAATGAGATCATCCAGGTAATGTGTGTAAGGCTGAGAACAGAACCTTCAGGAGCACCAGGGATGGACAGAGACTGAGAAGAAGCCAGAGTGACAGGAGGAAAACTAGGAGAGTATGATGTCACAGAAGCCACGGCTTGTATATTACAAGGAGGAAACAACAAAAGATTATCTATCCACTCAACTAAGCTACCCAGTCCTTTGTAACCCAGTGATAGCAGTTTCAGGGCAGTGGTAGTAGCAAAGGTCCAACCAACTGCCTTGGTTAGAGGGGTCAAGGGAATATAAAGAAGTTTAGGCATTTCAACAAATACTGCTGGGATACTTGGACAGCCAAATGCAAAAGAATGATGTTTGACAGTGACTTTACATCATATACAAAAATTAAGTCAAGGATCTTAATGGCTCAAAGACCTTAATTTTTTCGCAAAACCTATAAAATTCTTAGAAGAAAACATAGGGGTAAATCTTCACGACCTTGGATTTGGCAGTAGATTCTTAGATGCAACACCAAAAGCATGAGCAACCAAAGAAAAATGTAGATACATCTGACTTCATAAAAATTAAAAACTTTGTGTATTAAAAGACACTACCAAGAAAGTGAAGACAACCCACCTGGGAGAAAATATCTGCAAATCATATATCTGATAAGGGACTAGTATAAGGAATACAAAAAGAACTCCTACAACTCAACAACAAAAAAAAAAACCCTGATTTCTTAAATGGACAAATTAAAAAATTGGCAAATAATCTAAATAGACATTTCTCCCAGGAAGATTATACAAATAGCCAATAAGCATATGAAAAGGTACAACATCATTAGTCATCAGGAAAGTGCACATCAAAACCACAGTGAGTCCTGTGGTCATGTACTGGAAGACTTAATAGTGGTAAGACGTCAATATTACCCAAAGCACTCTACAGATTCAATGTCGTATTTATCGGACTCCTAATGGCAGAATTCCAGAAATAGAAAAATCCATCTAAAATGCATATGGAATCACAAGGGACTCAACAGCCAAAATAATCTTGAAAAAGAAAAAGTTGGAGGTCTCACACTTCTGAATTTCAAAAAATACTACAAAACTATAGTAATCAAAAAACCGTGAGCCTGGCACTCAACTCCTCCACAACAAAGGACCAAAAAAGCAAGTAGGTAACCACGTGTCAGGTAGAACACCAAAGACAGAACACTATTCAACAGGGAAGTGACAGGGAACCTCTGAGGCACAAAAGGAGCAGTAAATAAAGCAGCCAGTGTGTCTTGGATTGGCTCAGAGACAGGAGAGACATCCCATTTCTGGGAAAAGAAAAGTCAAAGAACCGCAGTGGTCCACATTCCCAGCACAGATGCTGGCACCCACAGGGGATGCCGTCAGCCTTCATAGGCCCTGAGCCCAGTATACGGAGCTGCCTGGAATCCATGCAAATACATTGTTCCAGAAAGGGAATTCCACTGGATCCTACTCACACCCCAAGAAACATGCTGCTGTGGCACAGCACCATTTTAACACCCTAGCCCCCACCAGATTATATCCTGCCTTGGGGTCCAACAAGCCCCTGCAGTCTACATCCCTGCGGCCCCCAAGAACATCTTCCCACATCCATCCAGAAGGTTGCAGTATCACAATCACCCAGCAGTGCAGCCAGGTCCCCAGTACTCTGACCCATGAAGTGTCTTATATCCCAGGGAACAGGCAGTGTAGCGCACACCAGGGAGGCTGTCCCCGGGAAAAAGGGAGCTGAAGCTCCCAGAACCTGGGAGCCATCTTCCCAACACCAATGCCACCAACAGAACCTTGCCCCTCTCAGCAGGGCAACAGCACGCCTGTGTGTACCTTCAGGAGGCCTGAGGACCAGTGTGTCCGTATGTGCCATCCAAGAACCTAAAGACAGGCCTGCTCCACCCACTGTCCCCAGTGTTCTCAGGTGCCATCTTTCCCTCATGCCAGTTTCTCTCAGGTGCCTATATGCTCTCTAGGGGGGCCTGAGCACTGGCCCACCCCATCCAACACCACTGGTGCCCATGCACACAATCCCAAGGCCTGAACAGGCCCGCCCCACCTACTACCACCAGTGCCTACCAAAGTGCATCACCTAAGGGGCTAGAAACTGGCCCATTCATCCTGCCACAGCTACTGCCAACAGCTGTGATTGCCACCTGAGGGTCCAGTGTTTAGCCCACTGCTGCTACTGCCACTGCCAGCACCAAAAATACTGCCTCGGGGCTTGAGGACCAGCCCACCTGGGCCCCCCAACTACCAGCACTTATGCCAGCTGGGGTCCTGAGGTCTAGCAGGCCCAGCCCATCGCCAACACAGCTAAAGCCTGCCCATGCCACCAAAAGGCCCAAGGACTGGTCCCTCTGGCATCCCTGTCCCCAGAAAAGCCTCACAACAGCCTCAACTAACAATGGCAGCTTAAGCCACTGAGGACTTACAGACACCAGTGACATTGGTTACAGCTGAAGAAATCATTGAGCCTATACAACTGTGCTCACCAAAATCAAAGCCAAAACATCCTAATCACAACCAAAACTACAGATACGCCTACAAAAAAGTCTTTCCTTATGAAAGTCAATCCATAAAATTGGAAGAAGCAACTATTCCACTAGCTCAATAGATACCAACGTAACGACACAAGAAACATGAAAAAGCAAGGAAACTTGATGCTGCCAAAGAGACACAATAATTCTCCAGTAACAGATTCAAAAGAAAAGGAAATCTATAAAAATGCCAGAAAAGGAATTCAAAATAATGATCTTAGGGAAACTCAGCAAGTTGCAAGAAAACACAGATAATACAAAGAAATTAGGAAAACAATTCATGATCTGAATCAGACATTCAACAGAGACAGATAAAGAAAAATAACCAAACAAATCCTGGAACTGAAAAATTCAATGAATAAAATTTAAAAATGCAATTGAGAGCTTCAAAAATACACTAGATGAAGCAACACAAAGATTTTCTGAACTTGAAGACAGGTCTTTTGAAATAACCCAGTCAGACCAAACAAATATTTAAATTCTGAGTGTTTCAGGAAAGAGAAGGGAAAAGGCATAGAAAACCTATTTAGCAAAATAATAGTCAAACATTTCTTAAGTCTTGCAAGAGATACAGACATCCAGATACAGGATGTTCAGTAATCCCAAAAAAGATTCAAACCAAAAAGGTCTTCTGCAAGGCACACTACAATCAAATTGTCAAGTCAAAGACAGAATTCTAAAAACAGCAAAAGGGAAGCATCAAGTCACTTATAAGACTTTCCTATTAAAAAAAAACAAAAAAACAAAACCTTACAGGTCAGGGAAGAATGGAATAATATATATTACAGTGCTGAAATAAATTTTAAAAACTGCCAGCCAAGAATATTAAACTAAGTAAAGCTATCCTTCAAAATTGAAGGACAGATAAAGTCCTTCCCAGACAAGTAAAAACTGAGGGAAGGAGGACCCCAGGCCCTCAGAGGAGCCTCATAGTGCGGCATTATACAGAGCCTCTGAGGGAGCACCATCAAGTCACCTCTGGCATCCCAGGACAACTAGCAATTGCACCCAAGGCAGGAGGAGCAACAGGAGGGCTGCCAAGGTCCAGTTGGAGGCTCAGGTCACGGCCACCCAGGAAATGGAACATGGAGAAAAGGATCCAGAAACTAATGAGCACAGGGAAAGAAAACCTTTTGCAGAAACAGATGAGGAAGACAAGGGGGTTGATGTAGAGAAGCTACAACTAATTGCAGCTGCCATTAAACAGGGTCTTGCTGCAAAAAGAAAAAGGCTTCAAAAGTATACAAAAGCTTGCATCAAAACCAAGAACATAACTGAATGATATTTTGAGAACATAAAAGGCACAAACGTAATTATAGATATTCTATGCAGTTGCTGACTTTGCTTCAAGAATACAACACAGACATGTAGAAGACTGAGGAGAGAAGAAAAACTAAAATATTTCAAGAGCAACAAAAGAGGTGGCAACAAGTTAGCATTGTTAGGAGAGAGCAAATGAAAGAGATTAAGCTGCTATATGAGCAACTCATGAAGAGTATCATGAAAGAACTCTTTCAGTGAAGAAAGTCACATTGCCAAGTTCCAAGATAAAATTGTGTCGGAGACAGTGCAGCAAGAGTTGGCACTTATTCATAACTTGAGCTACACTAAACCACATGACAGTGTTTTGATATTCCTGTATAAATCAGTATATTTCTTCTATCATTAGTCTGTTAAATGCCAGACCTCATTTCTGTGATCTGTTGAATGAATCCTAGATAGTTTGGTGAGAAAGCAGCAATTGCACAGTTATATACACAGTCAGTTAAATTTTAACATTAATGATAATTTAGTTTAAAAAAAAAAAACTAGCTGGGTGCGGTGGCTCACACCTGTAATCCCAGCACTTTGGGAGGCTGAGGTGGGCAGATCACGAGGTCCGAGGTGGGTGGATCATGAGATCAGGAGCTCGAGACCATCCTGGTGAACACAATGAAACCCCGTCTATACTAAAGATACAAAAAATTGGCCATCCGAGCTGCATAGCAAGGGTCATATGTAATCCTGGGTTATGAACCTGTCACAGTTTGATTAGCTGCTTTTGTTCTGCCTCTGTATCTTTGCTTCGTGCCACTGTAAGCTTGTTTCAAGCTAGCCCAACCCCTTTTAGAAGTGGGTATAAAAGTCAAGTGCTGTCTTTGTTCTGGGCCCAGTTTTTGCATGTTAATCAGCTGGGTCTGAGTGCACTCGATAAAAATCCTCCTGTCTCACCCCCCATGGTCTCTCTAGTCCTCCTTCATTCCCACAATAATACCACCCTGAACGTGCCCAATCTCATCTGATCTTCAAATAGACTGGATGGTATCTACCATCATGAAAACACACAAAGTCTTAAAACTCACTAGTAGAGCAGAAACACAAATGAGAAAAAGGAATCAAACATTATGAGTATTAAAAAAAAACCCACCAAATTGTAAACAATACAAAAGAAGATAGGTGAAATGCCGTCTCTACTAAAAATACAAAAATTAGCTGGGTGTGGTGGTGGGCACCTGTAATCCCAGCTATTTGGGAGGCTCAGGCAGGAGAATCGCTTGAACTTGGGAGGTGGAGGCTGCAGTGAGCCGAGATCCCGCTACTGCACTCCAGCCTGAAGACAGAGCAAGACTCTGTCTCAAAATAAAAAAAGAAAAAAAAAAGATAGGAAAAATATATATACAAGACAATCAGAAAACAATTAAAAGCACAGGATTAAGTCCTCACCTATCAATAAAAACCTTGAATGTAAATAATTTAAATTCTCCAATTAAAATACATAGACTGGCTGAATGGATTTAAAAAAAACAAGATTCAACTATATGTTACCCATAACAAACTCATTTCACATTTAAAAACACATATAGACTGAAAGTGAACAGACAGAAAAAAATATTCCATGCAAATTGAAAACAAAAATGTGCAGGAATAGCAATACTTATACAAAATAGACTAAGTCAGAAAACATAAAAAGGGACAAAGAAGATCATTACATAATGATAAAGGGATCAATTCAGCAAAAGGATGCGACAATTTTAAATGTATATGCACCCAATACCAAAGCACTCACATATATAAACAAACACTATTAGAGCTAAAGAGAGAGGCAGATCCTAATACAAAAAAAAGCTGGGGATTTTAATGCCTCACTTTCAGTACTGGGCAGATCATCTAGACAGAAACATCAGACTTAATCTGCATTATAGGCCAAATGGACCTAACAGACATTTACAGAACCTTTCTTCCAACAGCTGAATATACATTCTTCTCATCAGCACATGGACCATTCTCCAGCATAGACCATGTTAGACCACAAAACAAGTCTCAATAAATTTTTAAAAATCTAAATCATATCAAGTACCTTCTCAGACCACAATGGAAGAAAAGTAGAAATCAATAACGAGAAACTTTGGAAACTACAAATCCATGGAAATCTAACAACTGGCCAGGTATAGTGGCTCACGCCTGTAATCCCAACACTTTGGGAGGCCAAGGAAGTTAGAAGTTCGGGACCAGCCTGGCCAACATGGCAAAACCGTGTCTCTACTAAAAATACAAAAATTAGCCAGGCGTGGTGGTGTGCCTATAATCCCAGCTACTCAGGAAGCTGAAGTGGGAAAACTGCTTGAACCTGGGAGGCAGAGGCAGCAGTGAGCCGAGATCACACCACTGCATGCCAGCCTCAGCAACAGAGCGAGACCCCATCTCAAAAAAAAAAAAAAAAATCTAACAACCAATGTGGAACACATGCAAATGTACATGTGGATGTGGACAAAGAACCACATGGCTAAGCCATAAAAAAAAAAAAAACAAACAATAAAACACGAAACTCAGGCAAAAAACTCCACCATCAGAGTAGAATGCTATAACTTCCATTCAGCCCTTCAATCCCACCTTCATTGGCCGGACTGGTTTTCACAGCATCTCTCTTGCCTGAGACATCACAGCATCTCTAAGTGTATCCAAGACCTTCTGGTAGGTCTCCAGAACGTCCTGGGCAGTGGGTCTTTCTGAGGGAGTCTGGCTCTTGCATGCTTTGTGAATATCAAACAAATGGAATCGGACCATATCACTCCCTTCAATGTGCCCCAGAAGGAAACTGGAGATGTCTGGGATCTTCCAAATGTCAATCTTCTCGTCATATGAGGGCATGAGATTATCACGGAAAGGCATGTCCTCTCCGTAGGGCCACAGTTGCTCTGGAGCCACAAAATCCCCATGCAGCTCCCTGTGGCCGCACTTCACCAGTGTCCCAGAGCTGTGGTTCACCAGGGGTAAGGCATCCAAGTCATTTGCCAAAATGCTGAAGTTGCTTGTCAGCAGATACTGAGACAGTGTCTTGGGCAGGTCATTGGAGTCACACATGACCCGTGTGCCCATGGGGCTGTGGTGCAGGTAATTAATGATGCTGACATAGTCCATGGCCAGCTGCAGCCTGTGCTGCCACGTGTTCACATTTTGGTACTTTGAAAGGTTTAGTGTTTCTTCCAGGTTACTCAAGGAACCTAGAGGGTGATATTCAGTAAGAATAGTGTTGTCATCCTCACAATAGCCAAGCAGCGTGACAACATGTGCGCCTTGTAGAGATTTCAGCATCTGCAGTCCATGGAGGAAATCGTCTTTCATCTCCAGGCTGGTAAGCCGTGAGAGAGCAACTTTGTGCTCCTTCCACTCAGACAGAAAGACCTGCAACAAAGCCACAGAGAACATCAGGCCTGAACTCTCACCTAATTTAGTGACCAAAGAACAACGAATATCTTTTAAGTGGCAGGTGTTCTGCAGAAGATACAGAAATTACCAAGGTGCAGACCCCATTGCAGAGTTGCTCTCCGTCTAGTGATGAAGATAGACTGAAGAGCAAACACAGCATTCAGCAAGGCAAGTGCCACATTAGTGTGTGGAACCTCAGGGCAGGAAGCGATTGCCTCTGGGCAGGACACTGACAGCTGCTGCAGAGGGTGCTGGAAGGCTTCTGGAAGCTGGTCTCATAGAAGGAGGGGGACTTCCAGATTCTATGTGGGGCAGGGGAGTGCTGGCTCAGGAGGAAAGACTCCATATAATTTCATGGCAGGGAGGAGTGGCAAAGTAGACTGCCAGTTCCAATGGACCACCCCGCACAGTGGGTGGGGAAGAAGAGGAGGCAGGGGAGTGGACTGGAAAAGTGGGTAAGTGTGGAGACCCTGAAAAGCCTACATGAGGGCGTGAAGCCCTGCCCATCACATGTAACAATGTTACTCATTAATTTTAAAAGGTGGCACAATAAATCATAAATAGGAATATTTATATGTAAGGAAAACATTTTTACATGTTCTGTGGTTTGGTGTTACTTCAGCTGTAAAGGCAGGAGCTGAAATGCTACACAAACACGAGACCTTCTCATAGAGTCCACAGCAAACAGAAGAGCAAGTGCACATTTCTGCCTTGGATTTCCACCTTTCATTTGCTTGCAGGAAACACTGTAATTAAAGAAAGAACCTCTGATCTTTTGCTTAAATCCCAAGAGAAGGCAGAAGATTACAAAAGAGAAAGCAGGTTCAGGACTCAGGAGATTCCTGCCCCAGGCTCGTTCTGCAAGCAGTGTGTCATGTCATCGTTCAAATAAAGGTTATGGTTTCCAAAGCAGTTTTGTTGCATTATTTATCAAGAGACTCTAACATCTAAATCTAAAATCTAAGGCAATAATCAGAAATAGGTAAGAAGTTCCAGGAATAAAAATCTGGCATTATTTATAAAAGCATAAACTGAAACTTATCAAAAGATGGGAGCAGTATGATCAACATAGTAAGAACCCATCTCTACAAAACATTTTTTAGAAACTAGCAGGGTAGGCTGGGCGTGGTGGCTCACACTTGTAATCCCAACACTTTGGGAGGTCAAGGCAGGTGGATCACCTGAGGTCAGGAGTTCAAGACCAGCCTGACCAACATGGAGAAACCCCATCTCTACTAAAAATACACAATTAGCCAGGCGTACTGGTGCATGCCTGTAATCCCAGTGACCTGGGAGGCTGAAGCAGGAGAATCACTTGAACGCAGGAGGCAGAGGTTGCCGTGAGCCAAGATCATGCCACTGTGCTCCAGCTTGGGCAACAAGAATGAAACTCTGTCTCAAAAAAAAAAAAGAAGAAGAAATTAAGAAACTAGCAGGGTGTAATGGAGCATACGCATAGCCCCGGCTACTCAGGGGAGGCTGAGGTAGGAGGATCATTCGAGTCAAGGTGTTTGATCACATCACTGCACAGCTGGGTGACATAGTGAAAACTTATCTCCAAAAAAAAAAAAAAAAAACTATATATATATATAATGTGGTCACCAAAATGTATATATTTATAGAGTTATAACAGATAAAAGTAATGGTACGGCTGGGTGCAGTGGCTCACACCTATAATCCCAGCACTTTGGGAGGCCAAGGCAGGCAGATCACCTGAGGTCAAGAATTGGAGACCAGCCTAGCCAACATGGCGAAACTCCACCTCTACTAAAAATACAAAATTAGCCGGGCATGGTGCTGCACGCCTGTAATCCCAGCTACTCAGGAGGCTGAGGCAGAAGAGTAGCTTGAACCCAGGAGGTGGAGGTTGTGGAGAGCCAAGATCGCACCATTGCACTCCAGCCTGGGCGAACAACAGTGAAACTCCACCGTCTCAAAAAAAAAAAAAAAAAAAGCAATGTTACAAATGAGAAATATATAAAACCGTTTGTATAATACGTTTGTATAATATTGTTCCAACTGCATAAAATGAGACAAATTTAAATTACAGCACATGGAAATCAAAGGAAATATGCTAATGCCTTAGCTGTCTTTATGTGGTAAGATTGTGGGTGATTTTTTTTTCCTTCATATCTTTTGGTATTTTCCAAGATGAATATACATTACTTTTACAACTTAAATTTTTTAACTCAAAAATATATAAAATTTCAGAAAAATTGGCGTTGGGAATTTAAAAAAAAAAAAGAAAAAGAAATATTATATAAAATGGAGGTGGACCCAAGGACCATGAAGATCTTTTCTGGATCTAAGAAGGGAGGTTCATTACGGAAAAACGCAGATAACTTTGATTGGCTCATAACATTCAAACAAGAACTCTTTCAAGACTCTCTAATCCTCAAATTTGAGAAATTTCACTAAGGATAGTAATTTCTATTACAAAGTCATTTTTTGGCCAGACGTGGTGGCTCACACCTGTAATCCCAGCACTTTGGGAGGCCAAGGCAAGTGGATCACAAGGTCAGGAGATCGAGACCAGCCTGGCCACATGGTGAAACCCCATCTCTACTAAAAACACAAAAAAATCAGCTGGGCATGGTGGCACGCACCTGCAGTCCCAGCTACTCGGGAGGCTGAGGCAGGAGAATCGCTTGCACCCAGGAGGCAGAGGCTACAGTGAGCCAAGATTGCGCCACTGCACTCCAGTCTGGTGACAGAGTGAGACTTCATCTCAAAAAAAAAAAAAAAAAAAAAGCTATTTTTCACTCTGGCTGCTACATGCACTAAAAATTTTCTAAATTTTAAGCACTGGATAAGGCCACATTCTAAAAGTTCACGGTTTTTTAATTTTCATATTGAACACATGCTCTCCAAAGATTTGCATCCCACTGAATCTGATAATTGGCTCTAAAACAAACAACTGAGGTTTTGTTCAGATCCATGGCTTCCTTACACCCACCAACACTGGCAATGGCTTTGGTTTTCTAGGTCCATTTTTCACCTAAAAACGATGCTGGCTTTTGGGAAGCTGCTGCTACACATTCAACAGTAAGTGGGGGGCCGGGCGCGGTGGGTCACGCTTGTAATTCCAGCACTTTGGGAGGCCAAGGTAGGTGGATCACGAGGTCAGGAGATCGAGACCATCCTGACTAACACGGTGAAACCCCGTCTCCACTAAAAATACAAAAATTAGCCGGGCGTGGTGGCGGGCACCTGTAGTCCCAGCCACTCGGGAGGCTGAGGCAGGAGAATGGCATGAACCCGGGAGGCAGAGCTTGCAGTGAGCTGAGATTGCACCACTGCACTCCAGCCTGGGCAACAGAGCAAGACTCTGTCTCAAAAAAAAAAAAAAAAAGCAGTAAGTGGGGGAGGCTCAGCCACAGGCCCCAGGACTCCAGAGCCCTCATTTATGTCTAATTCATTTTTGTTTCAGATACATGAAGATTATTATTATGAAATACCATTAGTCTTTGAGATCACACACAAGTATTTGAATCCTCCCATATAAAAAATGTGCTAGTCATGGACTGTTTAAGAATAATTTCTCACAACCTCTAATTTAGTTGCTTTTAATCATTTTCTCAAAGACTTTTATTTGGAAAGAATAGTTAATATACTTTACCTTTTTTATTATAAAATTAATCATGAACACTTTTCTTGGTAAAAACTCAAATACAGAGGATAGGGAGGATGTCTCCCTGCCCCCAGTTTTACTTCCCAACCCAAAGGAAACCTGGTAACTGGCTGTTATCCTCCCGTAAGTTTTTCTATACCTTTATATGTATTAGTGTACACCTGTAAAACAGCATTTGCGTTTGCTGTTATACTAATGGTGTTATAATATACATACATTGCAGCTTAATTTTTTCATTTAACTGAGCCTCAGAAATCCTTTCCATATATACATGTAGATCTAGGCCATTCTTTTTAAAGCTGAATAATGTTTCATAGTATAGGCATAATACCTATGGCTAGTGTATTTCCAGTAAGGTTTTACAGATAATATTTCCTTTTTTCTTTAAAACTAAAGTATAATATAATAAAAATACAAAGAATTTGGAATAGATGCTGTCAAAATGGATTGGATTCCTTCTTAGATTATTATGTAGCTATAATTTTGCAGACCTTTAATAAGATCTTACATGATCTATTTCTAAAGACCTGGACATTTAAGTTAGTCCCTTTTCTAATGACAATGCTACAGTGTACAGCCTTATATTTACATGTCTATGCATATGTGCAAATATTTTATAAGCTAGGTAAGCAGACAGATTACCGAATAAGAATATCTATTGCTATCATTACCCTCCAAAGCCTGTGCTAGCATGTACTTTCACCAGCAGTGCATGAGAGAATCTTAGGAATACACCCTTAGTCACACCAGATATTACCACTGTGTAATTTGTGCCAATCAATGGATGAAAAATACCTTACTGTTCTAATTTGTATTTCCCTGATTACTAAGGAGGCTAGGCATCTGTCATGTTTTTAGGCATTTCTGTTTTTCTGCTGTCAAAAGTCTGTTTACTGTCCTTTATCCAATTTTCTATAGGTTGTCTGCCTTGTGCTTATTAATATTACTGGGAGCTCTTTATATACACTTGACCCTTGAACAACAGGGGTTTGAAATGTGCAGTTCCACTTACATACAAATTTTCTTCTGCCTTTACCAGCCCCTGGATACCAAGACCAACCTCTCCCTTTCCTCCTCCTCCTCCTCGGCCTACTCACTGTGAAAAACGCAAGGATAAAGACCTTCGTGATGGATGATGGATCCACTTCCACTTAATGAACAGTAAATGTATTTAATGAACAGTAAATGTATTTTTTCTTATGATTTTTCTTAATAACATTTCTCTTACTTTAAGAGTACAGTATATAATATATAAAGTACAGTTAACCAACTATTTATGGTAGGCTTTTAGTTAAGTTTTTAAGGAATCAAACAGTATAAGTAGATTTCTTATTATGTGGAGGGT